GGTTCTCATTTACATGGAATATCTTTTTCTACCTCTTTACCTGGAGTCTATAAGAATCCTTTCATGTTAGGTGATGTTCTCGAAGGTAGCAGATATTTGATTTGTGACTTTTTATCCATTCTACCAAAGTGTGTCTTTTACATAGAGTATTTAATCTCAAGATGCAAGGTACTGTTTAGTTATGTTGATTGTAACCTAGGTACTTGATTTTCTTCATTGTATTATTGTTCGATAAGTCTTGTAAGTTTTAGGCTTTCTAGAGGTTCTATTCTGGTGCACGACAATCTTTTGATTCAAGATCAATAACTTCTTTTGGCATTTCTTGTAGGGCGGGTCTGGTAGTGACAAATTCCCTCAGCATTTGCTTCTCTGAAAAAGACTCCTTTATTTATAAAACAGTCTTGCTGGATAAAAAAATTCTTGGCTGACAGTTACTGTTTGAGGCAGCTAAAGATGGGACTTCAGTCCCTTCTGGCTTGTAAGGTTTCTACTGAGAAGTCTGCTGTTAGTCTGGTATGTTTTCCCCTGTCGGTCACCTGATACTTTTATCTCACTGCTCTTAGAATCCTTTCCTTCACGTTTACTTTAGATAGCCTGATGACTGTATGCCTTGGTGATGTCCTTTTTGCACTGAATCTCCCAGCAGTTATTTATGCTTCTTGCATTTGGATACCTAAATCTCCAGCAAGGCCAGGGAAATTTTTCTCACTTATTTTCTCAAATAAGTTTTCCAAACTTTTTGCTTTCTCTTCTCCCTCAGTAACACCACTGATTCTAAGGCTTGACTGTTTTACATAATCTCATATTTCTTGGAGACTTGGTTAATTTTTTTTTTTTTTGAGACAGAGTTCACTGTTGTTACCCAGAGTGCAGTGCAATGGCACGATCTTGGCTCACTGCAACCTCCGCCTTCTGGGTTCAAGCAATTCTCCTGCCTCAGCCTCCTGAGTAGCTGGGATTACAGGCACGCCCCACCATGCCCAGCTAATTTTTGTATTTTTAGTAGAGATAGCGTTTCACCTCGTTGACCAGGATGGTCTCGATTTCTGGACCTCATGATCCACCCGCTTTGGCCTCCCAAAGTGCTGTGATTATAGGCAAGAGCCACTACTCCTGGCCGACTTTGTTAATTTAATTCTTTTTTCTGATTGGGTTAATTTGAAAGGCTTATCTTTAAGCTCTGAAATTATTTTCTCTGCTTGGTCTAGACTAGTGTTTAAACTTTCTGCTACATTGTACAATTTCCTAAGTGTATCTTTAATTTCCAGAAGTTCTGATTGGTTTTTCTTCAGAATATCTATCTCTTTAGAAAATTTTTTGTTCAGGGCCGGGCGCGGTGGCTCACACCTGTAATCCCAGCACTTTGGAGGCCGAGGCGGGTGGATCACGAGGTCAAGAGATCGAGACCATACTGGTCAACATGGTGAAACCCCGTCTCTACTAAAAAAAAAAAAATACAAATCTTAGCTGGGCACTGTGGCGCATGCCTGTAATCCCAGCTACTCAGGAGGCTGAGGCAGGAGAATTGCCTGAACCCAGGAGGCGGAGGTTGCGGTGAGCCGAGATCGCGCCATTGCACTCCAGCCTGGGTAAACAAGAGCGAAACTCCGTCTCAAAAAAAAAAAAAAACCAAAAAATTTTCTTTCTTTTTTTTTTTTTCCATATCTCGAATTGTTTTTTCAATTTCTTTATGCTGGTTTTCACCTCTCTCTTGTATTTCCTTGAATAGATTTCATAATCCACCTTTTGAATAATTTATCTGGAATTTCAAAGATTTCGTCTTGGTTCGAATCCATTGCAGAAGAGCTAGTTTGATCTTTTGGGGTTGTTATAGAACCCTGTTTTGTCATATTGCCAGAATTATTATTTTTTAAGATGGATTATTATTACTTTTTGAGATGGGAGTTTTGTTCTTGCCGCCCAGGCTGGAGTGCAATGGCACGATCTTGGCTTACTGCAACTACTGCCTCCTGGATTCAAGGGATTGTCCTGCCTCAGCCTCACCAGTAGCTGGCATTACAGTGCCCACTACCGTGCCTCGATAATGTTTTTATTGGTGGGGGGCGTATACAGGTATTTATTTTAATAATCTTTATTGTTTCACAGTTTTTATTAAAAATTTGGGGACAATAAGATACGGCCCTGGAATATGACTCTGGCACTCTAAATTATAAATTAACCAAAAGAACTTAGCCGTAAGGCAAGCTCCTGAATAATTTCCTATTTAAAATCTGTGGTTCTCAAACTAGGGCAGTTTTGGAAGGTGTCTAAAAAGGTGTGGGAGCATTCTTGACCATCTCTGTAGCTCTCAGTAAGGGCAGGGTGTTATTGGCACACAGGGCACGGTCCAGGGAAGCTACTGCCACCACACAGCCTCTCCTGAGGACTTACCTTTCCTAACTTACTAAATGTTAGAGGAATACCAATTTAAAGTCAAAATCTTCTCTTTGTTTCTATTCCTTCATTTGCTTGTAGCACGTCTCCAAATGGACCGTGACCCACTTCTCAAAAGTCTGTTACCTCTCCCACTTCGCGGTATAGCGCACCACGCGGGTCTGGCCAGTCTTCCCGGGAGATGGTTTGATTAGATTTCATGTTTGATAATGAATTTGTAAACAAATCTCAGATACTTTTATTGACAATTCTTCCCTTTTTTAAATGTGAGACCTACAGCCTCTCTTTATTGATCAACCATTTATTATTTTCTTTGCACCAGGCACTGTGTAGCTCATTGGAAACTGACAAGTAACTCAGACGCACACTTTTCCTTCAAGGAGCCACAGTCTAGACGGTATACTCTTTTTTGCCAGATGTGGGCTCATGCTTTGGGCCACATGAAATATTTGGTCTAAAGTAGCAAAAAACCTGCGTTGCAAAAGGGACTTTTAGGGGGTACACTCATCTTTCTCTCTGTTTCTACTGTATGTGTGTTTGGACAGCTATGTTTTTATTTCTCTTTATTTTTGTATTATTAGAGACTAAGTCTGCCAGAATCTATAAATGGTGAAAATATTTTGATAACTTAGTTGCCAGAATTCCTAGTCTTGATTCCAGAGATTGTGTTTTCCTGACCTTTAAAATTTTAGCTTAGTCACCTTTATTAAGTTTGTGAATTTCTTGAAGTTCTGCCTACCAAATTATAAAAAAGCTCCACCAGACTGCAGAAGGTTATATCTTAATAGTATTGAAATAGGCAGTTATAAAAAAATTGTGTCACCTAAGTCTAACAGCTCTTCCAGAATGTTTTCCTTGAGACCTAAGCCATTCTGGCCCTGGCATATTGGGTGGGTCTGGGATCTGTTTCTCCTCACAACACTTCTAACACAACTGGCTGGATTTTTTCCACACTAACAACCAGTTCTTCGATTTTGTCACCACCCAGAGATAGCACAGACCCTACAGGTTATGGGCTTAGACCCACAAGACTCCTCCACGTTAGATGCCAGTTGTAAGTCCAGGCCTCCTATACTTCTGACCAAGAGATGGTAAATCTTGAGTTTCTATGAGCCCCACTCTTCGGATTCGGTAATTCCCTGTAAAGGCTCACAGAACTCACGAAGTCACTTTACTTCCTATTACTGGTTTATTGCAAAGGCACAACTCAGGAACAGCCAAATGGAGGACATGCAGAGGGCAAGGTATAGGGGAAGGTCAGGTCTTCTCTAGATGCCACCCACCTAGTACCTCATGTGTTCACTAACCAAGAAGCTCTCCAAAGTCTGTAACGTAGGGGTGTTACAGAGCTTCCATGACATCGTCATGGTTGACTGAATCACTGGTCATTGTGATTAGTTCAGTCTCCATCCCTCCTTCCCTCCCCAGAGGTGGGGCAGGGGCTGAAAGTTCATTCCTCCAATTTCCTGGTTTGTTCCTCTGGCAACCACCAGCCCTCATCCTGAAGCTCTCTAGGGGCTCACCAAGGGTCCGCTCATTTGTCTAAACTCAGGTGTGACTGAAAATGGGCTTATTATGAACAAGAGACACTCTTCTCATTCCTATCACCCAGGAGATTCAAAGGTTTTAGAAACTCTGTGCTAGGAACTGGGGATGAAGACCTTATTTTTATTTTCTGAGATGGAGTCTCGCTCTGTCACCCAGGCTGGAGTTCAGTGGCTCAATCTCAGCTCACTACAGCCTCCACCCCCCTGGTTAAACCGATTATTGTGCCTCAGCCTCCCGAGTAGCTGGCATTACAGGTGTGTGTCCCCACATTGGCTAATTTTTGTATTTTTAGTAGAGATGGGGTTTCACCATGTTGGCCAGGCTGGTCTTAAACTCCTGACCCCAAGTGATCCACCTGTCTCGGCCTCCCAAAGTGCTGGGATTACAGGCATGAGCCACCATACCTGGACTTATATTTCTTATTATAAAATCCCAGTGGAATTGGATGGGGGCGAGGGAGGGCAGTGTATGAAGGAAAGGCTCTAAGTCCACATGAGGGTGGAATGTGAACTTCTCTGGCTCTGAGGAAGTGGGGTGGGTTGAGTATCATGGGGTGATTTGATTGGACACGTTCTGGTGAGTCTGGTAGTGGGTGTCTCAGGAGCCATGAGGACATTTAAATGTGACAGTGTCACAGAAGAGATAGAAGACTGTTCTGTAACTTGGGTAGTGGCATGAGAAAGTGGGTCTGGGGAATAAGGTAGGCTCAGATTGTGGTTTTTGAGGGTGCCAAGAAATGTCTTTATTGGTCTGAGATGTACATAGACGTAGAAGGAAGAATCATGCCTTTCTAAAGTTCTTTTTAAGTGAAAAACAAAAACATTTTAAAGATATAAATAATTTTCATAAGTATATAAGAATCCATAGAGAAGAGTGTAATCTCTTTCTGGTGACATTAATTGAAACACTTTATGCCAGGTTAGATGAATCTGTGTTTAAATATATTGGTATCAGTATTTTGCTGTTTTCCCTTCAGTAAGATAATCTTGATAACCTTGATTTCTTGCTTTTTGTGTCCTGATTACCTTGAAATTAACATCTTGAAATAAAAAACTGTTGTCTTCACTTTGGTAGTACTTATACTAAAACTGGAACAATAAAGACATTAACATGTCCCCTGTGCAAGGATGACACGCAGATTTGTGAAATGTTTCATATTTTTTAAAACAAAACTATGGCTTCTATGTTTTTAAAACTTTGTGTTTTGCAAAACTCATTGAGAATAAATCATTTTGGGAACTTTTAAATACATGCAAACATAGAATAGGACAATAAACTTTCAATCTATATGTGTGTGTCTGTGTCTGTGTGTGTGTGTGTGTGTGTGTATTTTTTTTTTTTTTTTTTTGAGATGAAGTCTTCCTCTGTCACCCAGGCTGCGGTGCAGTGAGATGATCTCTGCTCACTGCAACCTCCGCCTCCCGGGTTCAAGCGATTCTCCCTGCCTCAGCCTCCTGAGTAGCTGGGATTACAGGCGTGTGCCACCATGCTCAGCTAATTTTTGTATTTTTGGTAGAGATAGGGTTTCACCATATTGGCCAGGCTGGTCTAGAACTCCTAACCTCAAGCGATCCACCCACCTTGGCCTGCTGGAATTACAGGCATGAGCCACTGCACCTGGCTGGTTTTTAAGACTTTACATTTCAGAATGTTTGTTTTCAGGAAAGAAAGCCCAATTGCCCCAGTGCTTTATTTGAGGACAGAGCCTGAAGCACAGGAGATTAGCGTCGGGGGACATTACTGGCACCATTGCCGACAGAGCCTAGATGTAGCAACAGCACATTTCTTCGGTTTTGCCCCCACTGAAGCTCAGATTTCTCTGTGGCCAGCAATAACCAGCACCTGTGTCAAAGGTGGCTGTCTCAGTTAAGACGCACACCAAAACTTCGAATCGTATGGTAGTTTCTGCAGTACCAGTGAGGTGTGCCACACGTACTTCGGTGTCATTTGCTTTTTCTTCTACAAGAGTGGCCTTGGACTCGTATGTGGGTTCGGTGTTGGTTGAGGTTGCTTTGAGCCAGTCCTCTCCCCTGGTCCACTCAGCGGAAACTGTGTATGCCCACATGGCACTGCTTTCCTTAGCGCTGGCTGAAAGCCATTGCTGTTTTTAGATTTGCTTTCAGAATGCTACCTATGGGGCAGAGAACCTAAGAATGTATAGCTTCTACCCAATCACTTCATTCTCGGGGGATTTGAGCCTCACTGCCTTGAGAAATTAAGCAAAAGTTCCGCAGGTACCATCTTACATGATGACTATAAATTCTATGATCACTGCTAATAATAGAGAATGTTTTGTTCAAGCCACTTAAATATATTTTCTTTTCCTCTCGGCAAGCCTAACGTCAGCATCCTCAAAAGCATGGTTGCCTGTGAATTTCCTTTTATATAGATGTAATACTGTTTACTTTTGCTCATCCATTCATCTATCCAAGCATCCAGTAAACATTGAGTACCCACTATGTGTCGAGTATTCTTCTAGATGCTGGAGGGACAATGATTAATAGATAACCTTTCTTTTTTTTTTAGACGGAGTTTCGCTCTTGTTACCCAGGCTGGAGTGCAATGGCGCGATCTCGGTTCACTGCAACCTCCACCTCTGGGGTTCAGGCAATTCTCCTGCCTCAGCCTCCTAAGTAGCTGGTAGCTGGGATTACAGGCACGTGCCACCATGCCCAGCTAATTTTTTGTATTTTTAGTAGAGGCGGGGTTTCACGTTGTTGACCAGGATGGTCTCAATCTCTTGACCTCGTGATCCACCCGCCTTGGCCTCCCAAAGTGCTGGGATTACAGGCTTGAGCCACCGTGCCTGGCTAGATAATCTTTCTTTACAGAGTCCATATTTAGTGAGAGAGGAATGCTGGACATTAAAGCAGATAGTAATGTGGTGAGCTAAGTGCAGCTATAAAGATACGTACAGCTTATCAGGACAACAATTATCTTAGGCATCCCGTTCACAAAAGGGAGGAGAGAACACCCTGTAGGCATGGGACGTTTCACTATTACTGCTGTATATTCAAGGCCAAGAATTGAGTGGTGAGAGAAGGAGCTGGAGAGGTGACAAAGGTGCTCTGTGACGGAGTTTGGACTTAGTTTGCTGCTGAGGTGTGGGGAAGTCTGTGAACAGGACTCAGACAGTTGAGTGACATGATTCTTTTTGTTCTAGAAGAATTCCTCTGGTGGCTCTGTGCAATGTGGTTTTCAGAGAGGGAGGACTGGAGACAAAGTAGATAAGTGAGAATGCTGAGGGGCCTAATGATTCATTCATGCGTTTCGTTTAGTAAACATTTATTGAGCACTTACTGGGGACCATGCCCTGTTCAAGTAAGTCATTTGGATTTTATTTTCACATAGATAAACAAAAGAGATAAATAGTAGTAGCTTTTTTTGGATAAATTGATAATAAATAAATCACAGTGTTTGCTTTCATCATGACAAACTTTTGAGTACATGTTTTCTCGAGGAGTATATTGATTTGGTGGTATTTTTATCTTGGATTTGGATCAGTCAGCAGTAACATAAAAGATGGCCTCTTTCATGCTGCAAATTAGTAAGGCTTTAGTTTTAGCTCTTGAGTTTTTCTAAAACGGATTATTTCAGTCTATAGATTATTCTGAGCCTTAAGACTCTTAATTTTCTGCTCATTAGCACCTCAAAGAATGGAGAGGAAGGAAGAGAGAGCCTTCAGTCTGACTTGCCGCTTGTTAGAAGGTTTGGAAAGTAGGTGATGAAGTTCATATTTGGTTTTCAAAATCAGGTTGCAGATTGTTTTGAGGCTTATACTTGCCTGAAGTTCTTGCTCTCTCGACCGTAGCTAACTTGCTGTCTGGATATATATGAGTGTGTGTGCCTCGTGCACAGTGAAGGGTGGGATTCACTTTGGAAATTTGGTACGAGCAAATAGCCTAAGAATTAATACCTTTAATTATTTTACCAATCACATTGGTCATTTGCAGTATCAAAGCAGTTACCTTGGTATGCTGTAAGGACATGGAATTCATTTTGTTGTTTATGCTCTTTTTTTATTGTGGAGGAGGAATCTTGCTCTGTTACCCAGGCTGGAGTGCAGTGGCTCGTTCTTGGCTCATTGCCTCCTCTGCTCACAGGTTCAAGTGATTCTCCTGCCTCACCTCCCAGGTAGCTGGGATTACAGGTGTCTGTCATCACACCCAGCTAATTTTCTTTATTTTTAGTAGAGATGGAGTTTCACCATGTTGGTAAAACTCCTGACTTCAAGTGATCCACCTATCTCGGCCTTCCAAAGTGCTGGGATTACAGGCTGGAGCCACCATGCCTGGCCTGTTGTTTATAATCTGATATCTTGCAACTTGAACTTTGTTAGTATAGTTTAGGAGTAAAAACTTTAAAAGGAAAACACATGCTCCCCAGGACGTTGAAGAAATAACTGTACCTACTTCACAGGGTTGTTAGGAGGGTTAAATGAGTTAATATAAGCAAAGACGAAGGTCCAGAATGTAGTAAATGTTACATAAACAGCTGTCATTTTTATTGATCTTACTTTTGAAAGTCAATTAGAATTTGCATGAAAGTAATAAACAATAGGTGAAAATCATGATAATACTAGATTATAAGGTATTACGAAGCTGGCCGTGGTGGCTCATGCCTGTAATCCTAGCACTTTGAGAGGCATAAGCCGGCAGGTCACCTGAGGTCAGGAGTTCTAGACCAGCCTGGCCAACAACATCGTGAAACCCCGTCTCTCTTAGAATACAAAAATTAGCTGTGCATGATGGCAGGTGCCTATCATCTCAGCTGCTTGGGAGCCTGAGGCAGGAGAATCACTGAATCTGGGAGGCGGAGTTTGCAGGAAGACTCATGACGTCACCTTTTACTTCACTAACAACACGTTTAACTACAGACTAGACACATTTTTAAGGGCTCCGACTCAAGGAAAGTTGAAACTGTTTATAGTTATAGGCCTACGTTTGAAAAATACTTGTCATGAACTGAGAAATAGGCAAATCCTTGGGCCTTACCTTTTCTTCCCTAGTTCCCCAAATAATAGCCTAAAGAGCACATGCAGAGATGTCAAAGCCGATGCATCAGTGGATAGCTGAGTCTGTCGAACACTATGCCCAGTTTCTAGTTCAAGACAAACAAAACATTAACATAAATCGATCTGAACTTTGTAAGTGAAGATTTCTCCCCTTCCTTAAGATAAAAAGTTTATAAACTCTTCAATAGCAATTCAGCAGCTTTTCCTTCTGTGGTTTTGAAGACCATCTTTGGAAGATGCAGAATTTAGACTTCCTACTCGGGGGCGTTTCTTCAGTTCAGTGAGCCAATCGTGAGATTCACCATGAGAGTGAGGGCGGGAACTGAAAATGCTTTGTTCTTTGGTTGCAGTGACTTCTAATTGAAGCAAACCAGCTCTACATGTGGATGGTCATGACTTTATAAAGACAATTAAAATATTTTCAGGAGAAGACTGAGGTCTCAGGGAAAAGCATGTATGAAATGGTGAATAATCGCCAGATGTGATTATGGGCCCCTTTTCTTAGTGGGTAATGATGTCTTTGCATCTAGCCGTGAGTTGGCAAATGGACTCTATCGTTGTGGGTATCTATTGGAAGAAAGAAAAGGAACAGAGCTATGAGACAGACAGTGCATAAGAAAAACAGAAAAAAAGCTCCCATGCGGCTAGGCAAGCGGAGGTAACATTGACTGTGTGGGGCTCCAGGCCTTGGTGAACGGGCTGTGGTTGCATCACAGCCGCAGCGTGCCCACAGGTGCTCTGGATGTTTTGAAACCCACTTGATGTAGAGGCATTTTTTTGGTATCTGAAGTTGGTAAATGTTGGATTTGGCCTCGTTATTGTCTCTACAACAGGAGAGTAAAGGCTGGAGAGGATTGAAAGGCCCATGTTTCTTTGGTGATGTCCGCCTTAGTTAAAACAGCGACTGTTCTGCGGTGGAAAACAAGGTATTTAGCACAGACGACAGCTTTATTATGTTTTCTCCTTTAGATGTGGATTTCTCTCTCTCTTTCTCTCTCTCTCTTTTGTTAAGAGACAGGTCTTGCCCTGTCACCTGGGCTGGAGTGCAATGGCATGATCCTAGTTCACTGCAGCTTCCAGCTCCTGGGCTCCAGCAGTCCTTTCACTCCAGCCTCTCAACGTGCAGCAGCTGGGACTATGGACACTGG